TTTTCATTTAGTATTTTTTCATCAAAGATTAAGCGTACCAGAAGATGCAGCGTGAAAGGCTCTACAATTTACAAAGAACAGTTTGTTTTTATTCTGTGCATTTTGTTTTCAAAAAAAGAAAAATTCTGCGTAATCAACTTTCATGGAACTTTGAAAACGAAAAGCACATAATTAAAATAAACTGTCCTGTGTAATTTGTAGAGCTTTTCACGCGCCATCTTTTGGTATATACCGATTTTTAATATAATGTATTAGAAATACGAGCATTCACAATGATTTTTTCGTGACTTAAGTTTTACACAAACATAATTCACATCGAAAACTTATTACTATGGTATTAACTGAAGGAGAATCAAATAGCATAGAAAAATAGAGCTTCATTTTCTCTATCTTTGTGTAGGAAAATAATTTTCTTTTGCCCTTTTAATTAGGAAATAAAATAGAGACGACATTACTTTTGGATACACCTAAGTACATTTGACATTGAATTAGATAAGTCATCAGTGATTGAATGGACAAATTCATCGATATTAACAAAGCAAAGTCAATGATATTCCCAAAATTGTGATAGGAAGAGTTATTATTATGAAGCATTCGAAATTAAGGTAATTGAAAATCGTTATTATAAAATATGGAGTAATTCGACCATCGATACGTCTGGGTTTATCTATGAAGATAGATTTGATCCACTCAATCCAGAGAATGATCTTCTTGACAAAAACGATGATGGAGGATCTGACCTTCAATTTCAATTTGAAATTCCTCTTTATAATGGTACGAAGTATATATTAGTTGTCACGACATATCATCCGGCGAACACTGGTCAGATCGAAATTCATATGTCGGGCTTGAAGAATGTTCTTTTCACCCGTGCTTGTAAGTTAATAGATGTTGTTCTATGAATTATTCTATTCACATTCTCATCGTCAACATTCTCTTTTTAATTAAATAGCTAAATCAATGAACATACGATCGAATTATTCATCTGCATTGACGACGAGTAGTCCAAAATATTGTCGAGACTATCTCACACGAAGTTATTATTTTGAAACATTGCAAATCAATGTAATGAAAACAGACTCATATGACATTTGGAGTGAAAGTGAAATCGAGACGTATGGTTATCTTTACAAAGATGATTTTGATTCATTGCAACCATTTGCCAATTTAATTGCTGAGCATAGTGGCAAATGTAATAATCATCAATTGAAGTTCAATATTCATCTTCGAGCAAATACAAAATACGTTTTAGTTGTTACAACGTATCATCCAAATGAAACAGGAAAATTCAATATTTTGATATCCGGTGACAATGATGTTACTATCGAATATTTTGGTGAGTCTTTAAGTGAAACAGTGGTCTTTTCAGAAGGAAAATTGATCTTTTTAGACTCGAAACAACGAAGTTGTTCGGTGGGAGATCGATGTCATTTCTATTCTACAACCATCGGTTTACCACTTGATGATATTTTACGAGGTGAAATTCGAGACAATGTCACACTATCAAATCAATCAAATTCTATTGGAATTAGTTCGGCCATTACTATTCTAATGTTTATCGGAGGGATGATCAATAGTCTTTTTTCTTATTTAACATTTCAAAATAAAGATACTCGACAAGTTGGATGTGGATTGTACCTTTTGGCATCATCGATCACTTCTCTGCTGACTATTTCGATGTTCTTAATCAACTTTTGGTTTGCAGTTCTTACTCAAATCAATCCACGGACTAGTTTTTCGATTCTTCGTGGTGGTTGTATCCTTATTGAACCTATTCTAAAACTTTTTCTCTATTGTGATAGTTGGTTCAGTGCTTGTGTTGCAATTGAACGAGCTATACAAGTTTTCAAGGGTGTTCGATTTGACAAAAACAAAAGCAAACGTTTTGCGCGATGGATCATTTTCATTTTACCATTGTGTATCATAGCAAGTCTCATTCATGAATCATTACATCGAGAAATGTTTAAATATGAAACTGAAACTAACAGAACTTATCTTAATAATGATAAAAGCACCATAAAAGATGAATTTGAATCGGAAAACAATAAGACATCCATCAATACGATCTATCAAAGTATAATCAATCCACATATTTCGTGTGTTACTCGTTATTCATCATCTATTCAAATTTATAACATAGTTATTTTATATTTTCATCTTCTCGTTCCATTCATTGCTAATTTATTTTCCGCTTTATTTATTATATTTGGATCTGCTCGACAGCGATCAGTTGCACAAACAGATCAAACGTATATAGAACATGTTCGTCAACAGTTCCACGAACATAAACAATTAATTATTAGTCCGATCGCCTTATTAATCTTATCGATGCCTCGTTTGATCGTTTCTTCATTACCTGGATGTATCAGAACATCTGAAAACTTGTGGTTGTATCTTATTTCCTATTTCTTTTCATTCGCACCATCAATACTGATTTTCGTAGTGTTTGTTGTACCTTCAAAGACATATATGAACGCATTTAAGAGCTTGCTGGATTCTTGGCGACGTCGAATCCATCAATAATCTTTCGTCAATCTATGCTTGCAACTTTTGTTATACTATTCGTCTATCTTACGCCCCAGCTTTGCTTTGATTTTATTTTCGTTGCTGTATGTACCTTCATTTCATATTGTAAAAATACAGAAACATCAAATCTTCTACTTTTCAATCAATTTTATTAATTTTGAAGTCATTCAACTAGTTCGTTGAACAAGGACTAAACCAAACATAGCAGATCTTCACACTCTCACATCCTAATTAGTTTTCCACAAAAGTGAAAACAAAGAAATTATCAGTGAATGTTTAAACATTGTTCACTATTTGCTGCAATTGACTGATGATGTTTTGATGATTAGCGTTATCATTAATCTTAGGGATATTTTCATTAAAGAAAACAACAAGAAGGAACTTTTGGATTTTTCGAATATTTGGGGATCGACGTGATCTTGTCCTACAAGAAATACGCACACTAAAAATTCAAATACGATATTTCGACAAATGACTATGCGAATCCAACTTTTTAGTATTACTTTTGCTAATCATGCATAGCTTTTCAATGCAAGAAAAGAATATTTAAGCATTACAGAGAGACATCTGTCAAAATTAACTTTGCCTATCCATGTATGATTGGATGATATATACTCAAATTACAAACAACGATCAGAAGATATATCAAAAAGGGGAGTCAGCTTTGTTTTCACATCTAATTATATTAATATTATTAAAATGTGTTCACAATCTGTGATTGCAGGAGACACAAGAAACTTACGAGATCTTTATCCAGAAATCGAACCGTACAAAACTGGTATGTTAAAAGTCTCGGATATTCATACATTATATTATGAAGAAGTTGGAAATCCATCCGGTAAGCCAATTGTGTTTGTTCATGGTGGACCAGGCAGTGGCACGACTGGACGTGAACGACGATTTTTTGATCCGCAAACATATCGAATTCTTCTCTATCATCAACGTGGTGCTGGTAGTTCAACACCAAATGCATGTCTCGAACAAAATACTACATGGGATCTGGTTGATGATATAGAGAAATTACGAAAACACTTCAATGTTGATCAATGGATTGTATTTGGTGGTAGTTGGGGATCAACGTTATCGTTGGCTTATGCTCAAACATATCCTGATCGTGTAAAAGCATTAATATTACGTGGAATATTTTGTTGTCGTCGAAAAGAGCTGTTATGGTTTTATCAAGAAGGCGCTTCGATGATATTTCCTGATGCATGGGACAAATTCGTAGAACCTATACCAATTGGTGAACGTGGTGATATGATATCAGCATATCATCGTCGTTTAACTGGAAATGATGAAAAAGAAATATTAAAAGCAGCGATTGCATGGACGATATGGGAATTATCATTATCACGTTTGTATGTTGATCCATCACATGTAGCTCGTGCTATTAATGATACTAAATATGCCATTGCTTTCGCTCGTATCGAATCACATTATTTTGTACATGGTGCATTTATGGCTGAAGATGGTCAATTATTGAAAAATGCTGATAAAATCAAAGATATACCTGGTGTTATCATTCAAGGAAGATACGATGTAGTTTGTCCGGCTTTCACAGCATGGGACTTACACAAAGTATGGCCGAAAGCAGAATTTCATTGGGTTGATGATGCTGGTCATTCAATGAAAGAAGTTGGAATTGTTGATCAACTGATTAATGCAACAGATAAATTTCGAAACTTGTAAAAATATCAAAGTGAAATCGATTATTTTTGTAACTTCAATGATTTCCTCTATTTTATTCGTGTGCTACAGAGCAAAAAAAACGTGTTTCTACCAAAATAAAAAATCACATCTGACAGGTATAGAATGAGTCATCAATGATGTGTTGGCAATGAAAACGAAAACGTTTTATGCAAACTCATCGGCACTGTACTTGTACTAATCCTCTTTGTCATATTCGCTGCATCTACAAATGTCAAATCAATGGATTAACGATCGAATTCGAAGTCGATGGAAATTTTTGGTGACGAATACATCATCGAATGGAACGGTGAAAATATAGTTATGGAGACTAATCTCTTTTCATTAACAACGAAATTTCATTATCAAAATCAAGAGACAATATTAGCAGAATTTCGTCGATGTCGGATTCCATTTAATTGGACGAATAGATACGATTTAGAAATATTTTCGAAGCAAGTACCTCATCCAGTGTATCTTTTAGCATTAGCAGCTAGAGATCACGATATTTCTCAATCGTCAACAAGTTCAAGATCATCAAGAAACATGAAATACGACTGGAACTTTTGGTTTTCCGATTTTTTTATGTTCAATTTATTATTTTAATGGTTCACGGTTTTTGCCAATTAAATTACTTGGACAAGACTTTGTGAAATCNCGATATTTCTCAATCGTCAACAAGTTCAAGATCATCAAGAAACATGAAATACGACTGGAACTTTTGGTTTTCCGATTTTTTTATGTTCAATTTATTATTTTAATGGTTCACGGTTTTTGCCAATTAAATTACTTGGACAAGACTTTGTGAAATCCTCTTTTGATGAAAAACTAGACCGTACGACGTCGATATGAAGTGATAGATCGTTATCATTCTTCTTTGTCTCAGCGCATCAACAAGCTAACTGTTCTGTTTTCATGATAATGTCTCACATCTAGAAACAAATTTTTTCAACCCGATTGTAAATGAAGAAGACTTTCACACTGAATCGAATAAATTATGGTGATACTATAGTCTACAAACACTGCACGTATGTAGTATTTGTTCTTTCCTTTTCATGATGAAAGACAAGATGATCAAGTGCTGCATACCGGCATGATGCGCTTCATTAAAAAAAATTAATAATACTTAGTTCTGTCGGGACATTTTTTTTTCTCTCATGATCGTCACAATTACTATATTAAGACAAATGATGGAAAAATGCTTCATTAAAGTACCTTTCATGTTAGATGCGACAACGTGTAAAATTAAAATATAATTCTTTTTCATTAAACTAATGAATAAAAAGTGTAGGAAGAAACCGCTTTGAATCTACATCATTTTTTCTGTGTCAAATTTATTGCACAAACTAGAAGAACATGATGGACACAATATCTATTATCTTTGCCGTACAAGCTATCATTCTCACTCTTATCATTCCAATGTCATTGATTTATCTTCTCACAATCATTTTCATCAAACGTTTTCATACTGCAAATAATATTTTGACAGCTAATTTCTGTTCAATTTGTTCTATATGTGTCATTTATTGGGCTTTGTACAGAGCATCTAGTGTATTCCACTTTTACCCATACTATGGAAATACTGCCTTTTGTACTTTTGTACTCTCTGCTGGACAATATCTAAATTGTTTACTTATTTATTCTCTAACACTTATTGCCATTAGTCGATATTTGACCATACGTTTTCCAAAGAAGCGCCTTTTCAAACGTAAATATTGGATATATTCAACCATAATTGTACAATGGATATTCAGTTCATGTGTGTCAATTCCAATCATTCTTGATACTTTACAAGTAAAAATCAGTACTAGTAGCAGCACATAGAGTAAATATTTACTTTTTCATGTAAACCATTTTGGGCAATAATCTGATGCATTTGAGCGAATGTCGTATTCTGTCGTGTTGTTTAACTCAAATTTGCCTAGAGAATGGCATAGGCCGTGGCAGCGTCTTTTAATATTTTTTATGAAAAAAAGATATGATTAATNATACATTCTTGTTTGTGACTATAAAACTAGTGTCCTGTGGGAACGATTTTTTTCCTATTCTCATTTAGGTTTAGAGGATGGGAACAAGAGAACGGAAAGAAAAAAAAAATCCTTCCCACGTGACACACTATAAAACATGTTGATTTTTGTTCGTTCTTCCTATTTTCTTTTCTATTTCGTTATTTCAACAACACGATTCGTGACTTAAGGAGATTTTTATTACACATACGATTCGTAATAAATTTACGTAGTTCTTTATTTCTTATTTTGATATAATTTTATATGATATGACATAGAAATCATGAATAAAATTTTACTTTATCATTATAGATTGGAACAAATCTCTCTTATAAATCTACCAACGGAAATTATTCACCATATTTTGGATTATTGTGATACTAAAACGATTCTCTTAAATATTCGTTGTGTTTGCAAAACATTGAATGACATTGTTAACAATTACGATAGAATTCCATTGATAATTGATATAAATTCAATGAATAATCTGGAAGACATTTCTCATACGATTCAACTAGAACAAGTGACTTCACTTACGATTACCAATAATATTCGACCAGAGGAAAAATTACCTTTTTCGTTACTTGATAGTTTAAAATTTACTCGACTTCGTTCGTTAACTATCGAAAGAGCACGAGATGAACAATTGAAGTATCTTTTAAGAAGTTTAAATACTAACTCTTTGATTTCACTCTCAATCGAATTGAACACTCATAAATTTAATCAAATATGGCCTACTATTTCCGATGCACTTATTCGATGGAATCTTCGAGCATTCTCTGTTAATAATACATATCTCATGAAGGATCGTATACTATGGAGTTCTTCGATGCATGGTTCTGACCGTAAAAAATATCTGGTTTTACAAAAGTTACAAAATTTACAGACATTAGTTATGCAAAAGTGCATTATAGATGAAAAGATCATACCTAAAAGGTCATGTAAATTCGAATCAAATCTTATGTTTAAATGTATAATTTTGATAAACTGTATATTTACTTGTCAGCATTTTGAAAGATTATTTTTCCCAATATCTTCACTTCGTCATCTGAAATTGATTTGTGAAAGTGATGAACTCAATTTTATCTTTCATGGATCTTATTGGGAACGAATCATCAGTACTAACTTACCTCATATCGATCGATTTGAATTCTTCTTTTCTTATCACCAAAATCTTTTTAAGAGAGACAAGAACATAGATTTCGATCAACTTCAATCATTGATCGATGAATTTCGAACACCATTTTGGCTTGATGAAAAGCATTGGTTTGCCACATATATTTACAATTTTCAAGCGAATATGATCTGCTTATACACAACACCTATTATCACAAAAAATGATCAAACTTCACTCAGATGTGAAGTATCATGGACAGACGAGACGTTTCATCTAACTAAAGGATCATTAAATAGATTGACTGACTATGATACAAATGAGGTACACAAGAAAATTCTTTGATATAAGAATGAAAGGATTTGTTCATTGATAGACACTCACCACATTAAATCTGTCGAATAGTTCCATTGTAGCCATGGGAGCACAACACATTGCTGCTGCTTTGAAAACTGACAAAGTAGTGTATAGCAGAATGTTTATGTCCTCTATATTGATTTTCTTATATACTTTTAGACAATTACCTCATTAAATCTTAACTTCAATGATCTTGGAAAATGTGGTCTAGAATATATTGCTAATGCAATGCGGATCAATGAAGTGATATACTTCTTCATTTTTATTTCTCAAATGTTAAGTTGTTTTTCTTAACATATAGACAATAATTACATTGAATCTTCGGCATAATTTTATTCAGGATGAAGGTATACAACATCTGATTAGAGCTTTAAAAACGAACAAAGTAATATTCATTGTATATATTTGTATTTCTTACGAATAAATTCTCTTAATAGAAAATAAAACATCTTGATCTTGAATGGAACAAAATTAGTCATGTAGGATCACAATATCTTGCTGATATGTTAACAAATAACACGGTAATTTTCATTGTACTTTTGGTCATTTTATATTTATTTCTTTTTTTTATTCAAAGACGCTCATTACATTAAATCTTCGATACAATCCTATTAAAGATCTTGGAGCACAATATCTCGCCTATGCTTTACGGAATAATCAGATGATTTTCATCTTTTATACTCATTTTTTATTTTTCATTTTTGTTCATAGACACTCATCACACTGAATCTTGGTGGCGATGAACACTTGATCGAAAATAGAATTGGAGATGTTGGAGCACAACATCTTGCTGATATGTTAACAAATAATACAGTAGTTTTCATCCTATTTTCAAATCTATCTTATACAATTTATGTACTCATAGACACTTACCACCCTCTATCTTATGCGTAATCAAATTGGTGATCATGGAGCAGAATGTCTTGCTGATGCTTTGAAAATCAATTCGGTAGTTTTTTTCATTATATTTTACTCTTCTCCCATTAACATCTTCTTTTTTTCATAGACACTCACTACTCTTGATCTTTTTTGGAGTGACATTGGATCTCTTGGAGCACAACAACTTGCCGCTGCTTTAGAAAAGAACTCAGTAATTTTCGTTGTAAATTAATGATAATTATCATATTTAACTTCGTCTCCATGTATGTAGACACTCTTGACACTGGACCTCGGATATAGTAGAATTGAGCCTATCGGAATACAACATCTCGGTGCTATGTTAAAAAAGAACAAAGTGATTTTTTTTAATCTTAAAAGATCTGTCATGCAATTTCTTCATTCTGGACATAGACACTCACTAATCTGAATCTTGAATGCAACAAAATAGAAGATAATGAAGCCAAATATCTGGCTGCTAGTTTAATAGAAAACTCGGTAATAATCCGTATACCCTTTCTCTTATCTATTTCCTGCACTTCACATAGACACTCATTTCACTTAATCTTGGTTATAATCAAATTGGAGATGTTGGAGCAGAACATCTCGCTAATATGTTAACGAAAAATAAAGTAAATTTCATTGCATCTTCGTGTTCTTTCTCTATGATCCGTCACTCCCGAACATGTAGACACTTACTGCACTTCATCTTGGAAGACAAATTGGAGATGTTGGTGCTCAACACCTTGCTGTTGCCTTAAGAAATAACTCTGTAATTCTTATTTTCTAACTTATCTTTATTTTACAAATATTTTTTCTGTTTATATAGAGACTGACCACACTCATTGTTGAAAGTAATACATTTGGAATAATTGGAACACAAGATCTTGTCGATGCCTTAAGACATAACTCAGTAGTTCTTCTTATTTTGTTTTTATCTCTATGATATTGACGTCTTCTTTCCGATCGATATAGACACTTGAAGAACTGTACATGTTCTATCGAAATGAAAATCTTCGAGATTCAACTATTCAAAAACAAATGATAGCACAAGATCATAGAATCAAATGATTGTTTTCCTAATGGACTGTTTCAATTGAAGATGAGATGCTTTTTTAAATTATTCTGCATTTTCATTTACATTATTATCCAGATCTTCCATTCTATAAATAAAAAGACAAAGAATATATGTCTGGTAAGCTTCGAACTCATGTTTTTTCTAACTTGATTATTAATAGTTCCATCTTTCACCCTTTTCTTTTGGAAAGAGAAGTGTCAAAGTCATCAACGATTTATCGAAGCAAAAATATCATATATCAGAATGAAAAATATTTACATTGAGACTTTGCAAAGCTAACATAAGTAAATCGAGAAGTATTGATATTGAATCGGAACCTTTCATTAGCTTCAGATAATTCACTTTAGTCGCATCTTTTCCAATTTGAGAAAAAAGTATTATAGAAATATAGTTCAATTTTTATTTGTTGATTTTGTTTATTATTCTACGGAAAAGCGCTTCTACAAGCGATGCTGTCTGCAAAATCAATGCGTTCTTTGTGTTTTGCTAATAGTACTTCTTATTGGTATAAATTCTCCAAAAAAAAGAGATAGATTTTTCTGTTCAATCTATTTGACTCAGCAAGTACTCATTGCCTTTTCTGATTGAGAGAAAAGGAAAAAGAGCGTTTCTCTTGATTTCATACAATCCATCATAATATTCTTCTTGCATTTTTGAAGAATTGAAAGGAAAGGTTCCAAAACATGTTCGAAAAAATTTTCCGTTGTTTTTCTTTTCTTGTTTAAGTTCTTTTTTTTCGATAATAAAATGTGGATGTGTATCACTCCAATAAATACAACTGCATTTGTAGACCCGACCGTTTGTTTGGAATTTCGTTTCATCCGTCTGTAGGATTCGATCTAATAGAGTTAGATCATCTTAAATTGAAGCCGTCGATCGGAATCATTCTCATTTGAGGCTTGTTGTAAATATAATCTGTATGGTTTCAAATTCAGATCTTTCATAAGACGTTGTAAACTTGTGCATGAAACGAATGTGGACATTGAGGAAACGTTTGGGATCAGTGCCAGTATTTTCTTCAGTTTTAACCATTCCTGGTCTATCACTTCGCGATATATCTTCAAGTCAAACTGAAAGCACTTTTGCTATTCAAAATAGTAATAGTCTGCGAGATTTGTATATTCGCTTGGTTAAATGGATTCACGTACAGATAACATAAAGTCGTTTATATAATTTGACTTAATTTAAAGGCGTGTTGATAGTCATCCTATTCTATGTCAAGTAATTCAATGACGTACTTCTTCGAATGCGGTAATTTTTCATGTAGAATTTGAGTAAAAAGCATGTGTTCTATACTTAAGTGGAAGACGCTGTTCGTTCAATTCGTCTGTGATTGAAACAAAAGATCGGAGATAATGAATCCAGATTTTGACTTTTAAATACTTCAACACTTTCTTGTAAGTCGTGTTTTAGGGAAAAGAACGCCATCATCATTAAATAGTTTTTCAAAAAAATCTCAAATGTGAAATCGAATTGTCTTGTTCTATTTGAATATTTTCATTAGAGAAAAGTTTTATCATGAATCAATCAAACATAAGTATACAATATATTTGACATCTACTGAAAATCTATTATAACTTTTTATTTTTGAGAAAGAATTTTCACTAATAATACATCTGCAACTAAAAAACGATTTAAGAATTGAATTACAAAGTTTAGACGATATTGAACATAACAGAGGAGAGAAAACGTTCATATATGAGTTTAGATATTTTGATGATCATGGAGCGGCACTCCGTTCTGGATAATCAGTAGCAGTGCCTCGTTGTGACCATCCTGTTCCAGGTGTTGGCTCAGATGGTAAAAGTCTAATGCCTGATTCGTTTGTTACACATGAATCATGCTTAGCCTTCCTCTTTCTCCAACAAGATAGATAAATAATGCCGCCGACTATTCCGATGGCGATAAGTAAACCACTAATGATGAAAAAGCCGCCCTTCAAAGCGTTCCGAAAACGTTTTGGAATGTCTATATCTTGAAAAAGCATATTTAAGACAAAATAAGATTGTACAGTATATTAAATCTAATCTCATGTCAGAAAATATAGAAAAAATAGATTCATCTTTCCGTCTTATTCTATCGTTACAATGACAATTTGTTCCTATTACTTTCTTTATTGCATAAATCACTTGTGCAACATTTAATACGACCCCTGAATGTAGCACCACCATAAGAAACAGTGCCCCAATCTCGATCAACACATTTTGAAATGAATGTACGCATAGCGAAATCTGGATAGGTAGTGCCAGTAACAGAATCTTGTCCACTGAGACCAATGATCGTCTTATAAATAGTAGTTTTCAGTCGAACAACATGTTAGATGTGAAGCTACTTACAGCACACGATTCGTCACGACTAGATGATGCTGCTTTGTACACGTCTGGACTTGATTCATTGAATAACATACAACCCTCCAAACCGGTTACACGTGAATCACATGTGTAACACTGAATAGATATACCTTTAAATGCATTTGCTTCAGGTCCTGTATTACATTCCGGAGAATTACAACAAAACATAGGCTGTCTATTGTATAGAGACACTTGAAATGCCGGATTTGTGTGGGGAATGGTTGGTTGACAGCCCTTTGTATAATATCTGTAATTAACTTCGCCGAATGTCGCCTATATGACAATTTTTTACTTTAATATATATCAGAATTTTATTGGCGTCTTTCTATTATGAATCGTTCATGAGATGCCTAATTCGACTTATATTATAAGTCGACCGCCGACAGGCTGGTATCAATTCGAATATAAATAGATATCTATATAACCCTTATAACAAATGCCTAGATAGGATTAGAAATAGATTTAGTTTTACTTATACATATATACACCCACACCCTCACTTATATCTATCTCGGTTGAGGGTGCCGAGGTGGGTGTTGGTAATGGTATATATGTATAACTGCAACTAAATCTATTTCTCTTCCTAAACTCACAGGGGTGTGGCGGTATAAATGTACAAGTAAAACCAAATCTATTTCTAAGGGTGCTAGGAATTGGTCACTTATATTATAAGTCAAATTAGGCAGCTACTCAAACATTCCGGATGTCTAGTATTCATCACTAATACAATAGTGTTTGTGTTATTACAAAATCAATATATTCTTTTACTAACCGAGCAGGATTCAGTAGCGCTACTGAGAGCGACACGATGTTGAATACATGTCACACTCGAATTGGGACATTTAGAAACAGTACATTTAAGAGAAGTTAACGCAGGCAGTGGCGGCGCTGGTAGATGATTACAATAGTTTTCGTTACAACAGAACTCATATGATGAACTTTGACATTCGTATGAGGGTATTATAGCTCGTAGTGTCCAGCCATTTGGCGTTATCTTTATCTAAGTAATAGAAAGTAATGATAAGTACATTTATGAATGCTCTATAATTATACGAACAGAACATGAAAAAAGATTATCATTATTTTCGGCTTGAACAGTTCTAACGCTTGCTGGTAGTGGTGTCGGTGTGATGAGACCGTTGGGGTTCCAACTCCCTACTAAAGTTAAGAGAAGATAGTAAAAAAATTGCAAGTTCGTGCAGATTGTGACATCTCACGAATAACCACTGGCGGCAGGCGTTGACTGCATTCATGTTCATTACTACACGAATAGCATATTAAGCTTTCACTCAGTTGAACGTCTGTCGAGTAGAATGTATAACATTATATGTATTTTAACCACTAAAATAACTTACTATGAGTTATTATGACACAAAGGACGATAATTCGTATAAACATTTGTTGTGTTTTTGTTGTGATACTTTGTACTGTTTACTAAAAAACGTACCAATCGGAATCGTTTTTTCTTTTATATTGAATAAGAAAGTAAGTTTACTACACTCTTCAAAAGGAGGGAAATACTTCCGAATGTTTAAACATATTTCGAAATGATTAGCATGGATTACCTACTGTGGACAACTGAATAGAAAGAAATAATAAACAGAAAAATTTCATCAACATTCGATTCTCAACAACATTTGCTAATGCATTTACAACTTTATTTACTGGATTCTTTTTCGTTACCTTCCTTACAAAGTAACTATTTACACTAGTTACGATTAATTTTCTCTTGGATTTTTTGTCTTTTCAATGGCAAAATTCATAGGTAACTGTGTTTGCTAGAGAGAACAAGCGAGTTCTCTCTCTTGAGGGTCCAAAAGGATTCATCGAAAAACGCAGAACAATCTGAATTAGTTCACTGAAATTCACCAATACTCGTCCATATTACACAGTTCAGACTAATACACAATCATAAGAATAACGGACTTATTCATGTTTTCATTTGAATGTACTTAGGTGTATGCAAAAGTATTGTCGTCTCTATTTGATTTCTTTATTAAAAGGTCAAAAGAAAATTCTTGTTTTTACAGAAAGATAGAGAACATGAAGCTCTATTTTTCTATGCTATTTGATTCTCCTTCAGTTAATACCATAGCAACAAGTTTTCGATATGAATTATTTTTGTGTAAAATTTAAGTAACAAAAAGGTCATTATGAGTGTTCGCATTTTTAATACATTCTATTAAAAATCGGTGTTTACCAAAAGACGCTGCGTGAGAAATTCTACAATCTACACAATAGCGATATTTCTCAATCGTCAACAAGTTCAAGATCATCAAGAAACATGAAATACGACTGGAACTTTTGGTTTTCCGATTTTTTTATGTTCAATTTATTATTTTAATGGTTCACGGTTTTTGCCAGTTAAATTACTTGGACAAGACTTTGTGAAATCCTCTTTTGATGAAAAACTAGACCGTACGACGTCGATATGAAGTGATAGATCGTTATCATTTTTCTTTGTCTCAGCGCATCAACAAGCAAACTGTTCTGTTTTCATGATAATGTCACACATCTAGAAACAAATTTTTTCAACCCGATTGTAAATGAAGAAGACTTTCACACTGAATCGAATAGATTATGGTGATACTATAGTCTACAAACACTGCGCGCATGTAGTATTTGTTCTTTCCTTTTTCATGATGAAAGACAAGATGATCAAGTGCTGCATACCGGCATGATGCGCTTAATTAAAATAAATTAATAATACTTAGTTCTGTCGGGACATTTTTTTCTCTCTCACGATCGTCTCAATTACTATATTAAGACAAATGATGGGAAAATGCTTTCATTAAACTACGTTTCATGTTAGATGCATCAATGTGCAAAATCAAACTATATTCTTTTTCATTAAACTAATGAATAAGAAGTGTAGGAAGAAACCGCTTTGAATCTACATCATTTTTTCTGCGTCAAATTTATTGCACAAACTAGAAGAACATGGTGGACACAATATCCGTTATCTATGCCGTACAAGCTATCATTCTCACTCTTACCATTCCAATGTCATTGATTTATCTTCTCACAATCATTTTCATCGAACGTTTTCATACTGCAAATAATATTTTGACAGCTAATTTCTGTTCAATTTGTTTTATATGCGTCATTTATTGGGCGTTGTACAGAGCATCTAGTGTATTCCACTTTTACCCATACTATGGAAATACTGCCTTTTGTACTTTTGTACTATCTGCTGGACAATATCTAAATTGTTTACTTATTTACTCTCTAACACTTATTGCCATTAGTCGATATTTGACCATACGTTTTCCAACGAAGCGACTTTTCAAACGTAAATATTGGATATATTCAACCATAATTTTACAATGGATATTCAGTTCATCTGTGTCAATTCCAATCATTCTTGATAGTTTACAAGTAAAAATCAGTACTAGTAGCGGCACATAGAGTAAATATTTACTTTTTCATGTAAACCATTTTGGACAATAATCTGATGCATTTGAGCGAATGTCGTGTTCTGTCGTGTTGTTGAACTCAAATTTGCCTAGAGAATGGCATGGACCGTGGCAGCGTCTCTTAATATTGTCTATGAAAAAAGATATGATTGATATACATAATATTTACTATTTACTTTAGTATAGTGAATATTCTTTTCTGTTTGATAAATCTCTCATATCCTTGTCTGTTAACAATAACAAGAGACGATATCATGAGCTAAATTATAATAGAAGACGAGTTCTACAAAATGACAATAAGATACATCTTCGACTATGTCAAGCTATACTATGGAAATTGATATATATGAAAAAGTAGATATTTACTCTATGTGCCACCTCTAATCGATGCAAACAAAACTATTTGTTCTCTATTTTATTTTATGCAGGGATGTAAAAATGGGTTACCGTTGTTCAGCTGGAATTTCTTATACTATCTCTTAATTATAGTCATAATTCCTGTGATTATTTATATCATTTTTAATGGGCTTATTTTGGCAGCTGTTCGATCATCCAGTCGGCGTGTTCGCGAGATCACAACAATTATCGTAACTACGACTAATACAGATCATCAGCAAAATCGTCGAGATATCAAATTACTCAAACATATCTTCTTTTTATTTTTTGTATTTATCTTTGGATGGGGACCAGCTTATATTGCCACAGTCATTGCCAATTTCTACATGCCACTATGGGTGTACTATCTATTGCAAACACTACCAGTATTTACTATCATTATTCAAATATTGGATTTATTTATTTATAATCATGAAGTTCGTCAATATTGGAAAGAGCGAATGTTTCGATGTTTACATATAAATCTTCGTTAACTGCATGAAAATAATATCTATTCTACAGCTGTATATGTCAACAGCTTGTTTGTTCTTTTCATTTCGAATATAATATTCCTTATACATGTGTAATGTGTGTCCTTATTATTAATCTGCGTCTATGTTGATTCCGGTGAGCAAAATAATGGATGAGAACTATAGACGGTGAAAAAAAATAAAACGACACATGAAAAAAGTCATTCGTCAATTAGATGAAGATAGAAATAGATAGACGAGTACTGAAAAATATAATTATTCATGTAAACTTTGAAACTCATGCTTAGCGCGTTATAAACACAAATGCATCTACAATGTGAAAATCTATTGCGCTCATACACATTTGGAAAGAAGTTTTCAATAATACTTTAAAAAAAATTAATTAGTTTGTTCTACTAGACCATATCTTGTATGATGTCAATGCTCTTACCGTATATTCGCTCGACATTATCTTCTGTCGAACACTTTGATTCGGATTGAATGAAACAGAATTTATACGCGCAAAAAGATAATGAAAAACAATAATTGATCTGAAGTATAAACAAACTGTGCATTGTTTATTTGAGATAGTTCACTAAGATACCGACCAATAGAAATAACACGTGTTTCACCGATATATTGAACGGTTTTCATTTCGTTTTTATCCCATAAAGAAATTCAAAGTTTCGAGTAGCTGCCTAATTCGACTTATAATATAAGTGATCAATTTCTAGCGCTCTTAGGAATAGAAATAGATTTAGTTTTAGCTACGCATACACACACCCATACCCCTGTGAGTTTAGGAATAGAAATAGATTTAGTTTTAGTTACGCATACATACACCCATACCCCTGTGCGTTTAGGAATAGAAATAGATTTAGTTTTAGTTACGCATACATACACCCATACCCCTGTGAGCTTCGGAATAGAAATAGATTTAGTTTTAGTTACGCATACACACACCCATACCCCTGTCAATTTAGGAATAGAAATAGATTTAGTTTTAGTTACGCATACACACACCCATACCCCTGTGAGCTTCGGAAGAGAAATAGATTTAGTTTTACTTATACATATATACCCTCACACACACCC